TTAAAGAAATATGTTTGCTAGCGCCAATTGATAGTAGGACGGTTTAAACGATGCAACGCTAACGATATTTAAAATTGTGGTTTAGATTAAATGAAGTATGTTGGTGTGTTTAGTGGAGAGATTTTGCAAAGCAAGGGACTTAAATACGCTAATTCATTAATTATTTAATTAATTTTAATTTTTCTTCTCCACAATTGCTTATTTTATCAACTATAAATCAATCACATATAAACCGCTGTCCCTTGTGTCAAATATTAGCATTTAATACTTTCACCGTTAATTTAACTATGTTTGTTAAAAAGCCTACAAATCAATACTAATTTGTTCATGCTACACTTTACTCGTATATACGCTTTATTTTTTCATGCACGGCTCGCTCAATAACCGCCCAACACCGTTGATTAACAATTGCTTCACTTTAGCAATATTTACGCACCATTTTTCAAATTGTTTTGCATGCATATGTGCAGCTCTTTAGCATAATTTATAATGTGTAATAAGTTAATTTAATGTTACGCAATTTTTCGTTATTATATATGTGTATATGCATTTTGTTAGTTCATACTTTTAACACAATGTTGTCTTTATATTCAGAAAATATCCTTAAGTTCCACTATCGACATGTTGAATTCCTTTCGTACTAGTTACTGATCCTTAGCCAATCCTAAGAAATTTTCTTCTTCCATTTTTGAGAGGAATTTAATGGCTCTATGCTGTGGTTCCGTTTGTCGCGCCATATCAATCAGACCGAGCAATGTTTTGATGCCAATGAATATCCTATACAATAATAAAGCACAAATATGTGAATTAGTAGCATTTTTTGTTTATCTTTCGATTTTCTACTCACTTTTTGCCAGACATCTTCTTGCCAATAGCCTGCAATTCGCCCTTGCTGAATATCTCGGCATGTTCGAGCACGGCTAATACATGTTCTGGACTAGACAGATTTGGTACATGCAAGATGGAGGTGAACGCCGTCAACATTTCCATTTCCTCCAAAACGGCACTACACGCATACCATGCAAAGTAAACAATTATTTTAATAAATATTTTAAGAAATAAACAGTTGTTGTAGCCTACCGTCTGCTTGAAGTAACCAAAATGAGCAGTTTGCGCCCTTTTGGTGGCTGTTTCTTTAACAAAACCAACAACGCTTGCAGTGTCAAATTGGAGTAGCGTGGACCAATTGAACCGTAGTCTAGCAAGCGTTCGACATTGTCGACAACAATGCAGCTTAAAGTGGAACGGTAAGCATCATCGAATATCTATGTAAAACAGTAGAGTAAAATGTTAAGAAAATATTTGTTTCATGCGATCAGCTGTTTTATATTTACTTTTCGAATGTGTAAGCATTTGGCCGATTCGGTATAGCCGACCATATCTTCGGGTGAGCACACTTTAACGAATGGAAAATCGGACATTTTTGCCAATTTAGCAGCCAATGCGGTCTTGCCAGAATTGGGTGAGCCCTCAATTAACACCGACACCAAGCCAGAGCTTTCGGTTGCCTTCGCTTGTTGCACATACAGCATGCCGTCTTCAAGTAGACTGGCCACAGGCTGTCCCCAGTTGATTATGCCACGTGATAGCATATTATCTAATATCTCCTGTGCTGTGCCAAAGGCCTAGTGGAATGCAAAGCAATATTAGTTAACAAGAACTATTTAATTTCTATCAATTGTCAACTTACCGGCTTAATGTCATTTTCTAACGCGTGCAAGAAATCAGAGCGTGTAACTTTAAGCTTCTCCATCGCTTGCGGATCAACATGCACCTTCGCGTCGGCTTTAATCAGGCGATTCATAGCGGTAGATTGTGCTGCACGCACCAAACCTTCCAGCTCGGCGCCACTAAAGTTCTTCGTTAATGTAGCGATTTCCTTTGAGTCAACATCACCGGCAATCTTGTTGAATTCCCGCATACGCTTCGTATGTATATTCAGAATTTGCACACGACCCTCTTCGTTGGGCAAACTAATCTCCATTTGCACCTCCAAGCGACCGGGTCGCAGCAAAGCTTCGTCAATCATGTCACGTCTGTTTGTCATGCCGATAACCAATATGTTGTTCAATTGTTCGACACCATCGATTTTAGCGAGCAATTGATTGACCACTGTATCGTGTACGCCACTATTGCCAGCGACCGAGCCACGTGCTTTGCAGATAGCATCTATTTCATCGAAAATTATAATATGCAAACCACTGTTGGGACCAAGCTGAAGATAAAGATAAAGTGAATTCTATGGTTTGTTTATTATATATTTTTTCTGCTTACCCGTTTTTCCTCTTCCTCAGCCTCGGCGAAGAGACGTCGTATATTAGCCTCTGATTCGCCTACGTATTTGTCCAAAATTTGTGGGCCATTAACAATTTTCGGCTCGCGCGCATTTAACATAGTACCAATTTGACGCGCCATCAGCGTTTTACCGGTACCAGGTGGGCCATACAGGAGTATGCCTTTAACGTGTTTGCAGCCCAGCTGCTCCACAAGTTCCGGTGGGAAGACACGAGACGCGAAAGCACGTCGGAATATAGCATTGAATTCCTTATCCAAGCCACCAATGCCCATCTTGCCGAAATCCCAATCGGGATTAATAATGGATTGACGTACAATTTTACCCTTTGACTTGCCTTGCAAGTTTAGAGAGGAATTCTCGGCTTTCTCAAATTGTACGATTGTATTGCCCAGTATGCGACCAAAGCGTACATTTTTAGTACTTGTTTCTTTTCCTTCCCCAAGTGATTTGGGGTCCACAGCTGTAACGTGAAAATAAACGTTATAATAATTAAGTATTTTAATTTTCCTAAGAAAACTTATATTCAAATAGGTTGGTCCTACTTGCTTAGCAAATAAGAATTTCACCTTAAATATCGTCAAATTTTGTTTATTGAATTATTGTTTTCAAACTTACCTTCTAATGTTTTGACGGCAAGTCCTAACAGCTTTTTGCCCTGAAAGTCGAATACCAAGGTCTGACCAACAGTTAATGGCATGCCAGCAAATTGCATTAAAAACTCTTTAGCCATCTGATCAGAGTCATAGGGTTCCTGGGAAGTACTGCAGTTAAAATAATACAAAAAAAAATAACAATTATTTGTTCTTGTTTACTAAGGAGAGTAGTGGATAAATCGATAATGTTAAATATTGCATAAAAACTACTTTACATTTTCTTCTGCAAAAAGTCTGTCTCGAAGGAGACAAGTGTTATGACATCGGAATTGGCATCAAAACGATAAGGTCTCACATCGATATCCTGATTGATGGATAGTGTGGCCCATTTTCGTTGCACTAGCGAAAATCCAACATGACCTCGGGCCACCTCGTTGGTATGCAATAGCGCAAATATGTAATGTTGTCCTGGACCAGGCGATATGTCGGCATACCTTGAAAATATTCCAAACTACCGTTATATACTTTGAAAATAATTATATGTAGTTTATATATTGAAATATTTTTTCCATACGTACTTAACATCCTCTGGAAAATCGTTAATATTCACGATGGCCTTGTTTGTTACCGACAATTCGTCTGTGGGACATTTTGTTGCTTTCAAACGCTGTAAAAATATATGGTAATTAATTTTAACACCGCAATTGACTTATGAAACTATTATTCAACCTACGTAGGACATTTTGGTATTACACACTGCACAAATAGAATTCAATTATTGACTATCTTCTTAATTGCGAAAGTATCTAGCCCGACTGCTGCTTTGGAGAAAATATCCAGGGAAAATAAGGGTAGCTGCTTGTTCTTTCACTTCTATTCCGAATATCGATCCATAAATTGGCATGTATGCATTTACCTGCAAAGAATAAATTTCTAAAGTAACTATTCCTTCGTAATCTTTATAATACTCGCTGCTATTAAAAACAAAAAATACTTCGGTAGAAAAAAACGTTGAATTTCAAGATATAAACATGTTTGAAGATGTTGATTTTTATACAAGAGCTGATTCATAATAACGTACAAACTATCCTTAATATTCGAATTACGGTAATTGGGGTTAATGAATATTTGCAGGTTGCTGACGTTATAAAATTAATATGTTTGGCATAATATTTTTACTTGATAATTATGCAATCTTCTATTAAATTTAAATAGTTTTCAAGTTTAGAAGAGTTATTCAATGTATATTGTATTTATTTAATCAAAATATATCATATATTATCGTATTATTGTTTACGATATATGAAGATATAACATGTTATTTGGGGAAAATAGCATGCTATGATTTTGTTGCATACCGTGTGAACTGTCAAAAGTTTGTTTATGTTTGCATGAAATGCGTCAACTACAAATATAAAAATCCTTTGCAACACGATTTATTCAATGCCACACATATTAAAAATAGCAAAAATAGCTTGAAATATGAAGTTAAAATGCTGACAATCTAGCCGCACTTCCAGCAATTTAGTGCATGAAAGAAGTTGCAAAATAATGCTTGTAATAAATACTATGTACTACGTCAGTATTTATGGAAATTTCACAACGCCCATCATTGTTTCTTCACCAGAAGAGATTGCTAATGGTGATTGTACAAATCAGAGGCGCATTTGCTGTTAAAATTTTACTAATTTGCTATATTCCTTTCATCACCGAGTCGGTGCTAATTGCAGCCACGAAGCACTCACTTTTTAGAATCTTGGAAGTAGACACAAATTGCAATAGTGTTTTATAACAGCAACACAATTGTAAGTTTTAATTGTTGTATTTATATGTCTGCCTACTGTTATATTAATATAATTTAATTTATCTAAATAGATTTTTAGTATTATTATTCACTCTATGAGCACTTTACTAATAATTGAAAACTGATTACGTCTGTATTTGTACGTGCTTTTTGATGACATATGCATATAAAGCTGCCAGATGCTGTAAAATACATTTGTAAATAAACTTCTGAACTCGTATTAAGGGAAATATATAAATATGAAGACTTTTAAACCTCTGATTTCATATGATCCAGGCTATAGAAAAAATAAATTTTTTATAGACTGTATTTATTTTATATTATCTCTTATATGTATCAAATATTCTTTACATTAGTAGAACTCTTAATCCTTTTAAATCTTGCTTCGCGTTTAATGAGAATATAAATCACATGTAATTACGTCGAGAATATTGGGAAGTTCCCTGATAACCGTGCTGTGAACTCCCACCACTTGGTCCAGGTGGCATAGGCGGTTGTACATTTGATGGATAATGTGAATTTGTATTCAAAGCTGGGCCTCCCCATGGCGCTGCTGGTGGCATATTATATGGTGCTATAGGTGGTGGAAGTGGTGGGGGTACGACATTCGATGGTCCACCAGGACCTGCGTAATTATGTGGTGGCGGTTGAGGTGGAGCAGGAACTTTTGAATTATAAAGCGAATGTATTGGATGTGCAGTTACTGAAGAAGGTATCGGATACATATTGTGATAAGTTGAGGCCATACCGACCGTAGGTATAGCAGCTGGTTCTCCAACTGTCGGAGCGATTGGACCAGAATTTGCCAGTGATCTAATGGTTTGAATATTACTCAACTCACTAGCAGCTGGTATCGCGGGTTGCGCATTTGTGACAGAGTTAAAAGTACTAGGTTGTGGTGGCTTTAGTTTTGCAGCGGGTGAACTCGTGTTAGCAGTGGTAATGACAGGTTTGGTTGGTGTAGGACTATCTGCGCGACTAGGTGGTTTTTGTGGTGGACTATTGGATTCAGGTGTTTCTTTTTGATTGGGTTGATATAAGTCTAAAACTTGATGGCATATATCCTCAAGAATCTCCATTGTTACATCTGATACAAACATGTCCCACCAACGGTTATGACTCGGCTGACGTCCAGCCCAGTCGGCGACCATAAATTTGCTCAACTTACTAGCAAGATGTATAAGTGCCACTGCGATAATTTCGGGTTCCCATTGCAAGCATACAACCGTACTAAGCGAATCATTTACGAAATTCCAAGCCATTTGCACCATTTTTTGTAATTTCACTTGATCACCACGGAAACACTTCGCATATTTTAAAAGAAATGTGTAGGGATGTTCCACTTGCAAGTCAAATTTTATAGTTTGCAGCAAAATGCGCTCCAATGTCATAACCTCCTACAACAAAATATAAACTTCAGTTAATCATTAAACAAAAAATAAATAATTTGTGTAACTTACTTCTTTGGGATCTTCTCCGAAGGAATAGAAATAGTTATCGGAGAGTAAAGTTCTTGCTATTTTTATTATGTCACGACACTTCTTCGGTGTTTCTTCAACTTTACCGGCAAGGAAGAGGCAACAGCAAGCAGTAACATATCTTGGGAAACTTTTGAAGGAATGAAACATATAAAAGCGATGAAAATACACTACACCGGTAGCCATAGTATTGTGACCTAGTCCCATCTCTGTGCCACAATTCATTATAAAGCGTGCACCCTCCTTTCGGTAGCGGCGTTCAGTCTCAAACGATATACCATCCAGAATGGAAGGTGTATCACGCAGGTCCTTTTTATCCCAGTACCAGCACGGCATATTGTTTACTTATTTGTTCCAGTAATATTATAAACTTACACTTTTCACACATAAAATTAGCTAAAACAACTGTTGACGAAATTGACAGCTAATTGTTTTTGATAAGAGTTGCCAAAGCCTTTTATTTATTTATATCGTTGTCACAGAGTTGCTATTTCTCAAGTTTAAGTTGTGTAAATTTTGAAATTTAATGAAAAATTTGCGTGCTTCATTCATCAAGTCTGCTAGTTTCCGGATCCTGGTGAAGTTATAACGCATAAATGAAATGACTGTATGTGTATGCAAATAATATTAAAATAACAAAATCATATATCGTGGCATGGCCGTGATATATGACATTTGTGAAAAATAAATTTTTATTGCCGCTTTTTTATAAGTTTATTAATTCATACACATTTGAAAATTAGTAATTAAACTATATATAAAGGCATTACCTAACTAATATGCTGAATTAGTGCACAGTGAATATCTGCAACAAGCGTTGCTTCACAAAGGAAATGGTCAGTTTATGCCAGTTCGCTATCATTAAACTATTAGAAGTGTCTTGTTCAAATTCAAATATCTTGCACTTAAATTTACGAAAATTCGTTGCTATGTAAGTAAAAGACGTTTGGTTTTTCTTTATTTCGGATTTCATCAATATCTTGCTTTGTTGTTGATTATTTTATTTGTATATAATTTAAATTCATAAAATTGAATATATTAAGTTTAAAATATAAGTAGATGTATAAGTAAAAAAATGTATTCCACATAGCGTTTTCATAGTTGGTATTTCTTCATTCCTTTGTTTCTATAGTTTAGTAAGTTAAGTTACAATAGTTTAGTTAAGTTAGTTTAGTAGAAATGTAACTAGGTTCATTATTCATTAAATCAATATTCCTCTCAGCTTTACCATGTTGTTATATTTTTATGATACATATGATATATTTATTTTATTTATGTGTAACCTTATAATTTGTTTAATGACTTCTCTTAGAAGAGATTGTATGTTAATTTTATTAAAGCCCCAATACGGAATGAATATTTATGCTATATTTTATACTGACTTCATTTGCAACTATATTCTTTTCATCCATCTTTGTTTTGTATTAGCTTAGGTTAATAACTTTTTTGTTCGTACGCAAGTTTGCCCTTAAAGTTTTATGACTAAATTGGAAAGAATTTGAGAAGTTTGCGTTTGTAGATTTTTAATGATTGACCTTAGAGTATGTTGAATTATGAATTTATTTCTAATGGGAGTAATTGTACATATGTGTTTATATTAGTATGTATGTATGTAAACACTTGTAGTACAATACATGTTATGCATATATTATGTAGCTACATAATTGCCATACTTAGTGCTCGATATATATAAATATGTAGGTGACGTAAAAGTGCTATTAGGTTTCAGTAGTGAACTTTTATTTAATAGTTTTTGTTTTTCTTTTGAGGAAATTGTCCAGCTAAGGAATTGTGATATTGGTGTTGTAGTTGTTGTTCAATGATACAATGCATGCGTGTACTCTTATATATTTGCATTTTTATTATCTTATACCATAGACACTTAAAATGTAATTAACATTATCTTGCTTATAAATTACAATTTATATATGTATATATATAATTTAGTTATTTTATATATATTTTTATTAACTTTTAGAATTGCTTTAGTAGGCGAATGCTATTTGTAATCTAGGAGTTATTACTTAAAATAATAATATAAAGGTCAACATGCTGTAAAAACAGAGTGGTAACACTAAACTGCAACGGAAAATTTTTAATTATGGATAGTTTAAAAATTAAATTAGAATTTGAAATATTTACAAATAAAATTAATTTAAAAAATTATTAACTGCTACTAAATATTAACTTTTATTAAGAGCTGCATTTCTAATTTAATCACTGGTAGTTGAAGTGTTGATATAGTGAAGTTTTAAATCAAATACATATAAAATTCGTATTCACAAATATGGCACAAAGCAGCTGGTTATTTAAGATATAATAGTTTACAAATAGTTGTGACATAGCAGAAAAGAGTTATTTGCAGTGATAGATTGAACTATGAACACAACTTTCTTTAGAGATTTAACAGTAAAGTTATTTCCACACCGAACAGCGGAGGAAATTTGTATGAGGAATACTTTCGTAGTGTCTTAGTTTGATCATTTACTTTAAGGTTATAGCAAATAGTATTTCAATTTCAAATTCAACCTAATTTTTTACGTTGCCAATATATCGGAAAACCCGGTAATTGTTAATGGTTCGGGCCCTCATCTGTTACAGGTACATACAAAAGTATGCATGTATAATCAAAGAAATGTTTAACAATCTTAATAATAGTCAAAGGAAATTGTGCTATAGGGTTAAATTATGAAATTAAGGAAATATTTATTAATTTTGTATGTATTTACGTACATATATTTAATATACATATGTAAGTATTTATAAGTGTTTATAGTATTGTGATTGTGATATCTGTTATTTTTAGAATTAAATGTGCTTTTGCTATATCTTTAAAATGTCGAATATTATCATTGGTACTAATCAATGATCTCGTTTTGTTAATACGTATATATATTTTTTTTATTTATGGGTAATTTCATATGCATCTTAACGTCCTTTCAACTGTTGCGAATTTAATTGCTGCTTATGCTAGATTTTTTTAAAATGTTACAAAGTGCAGTTTTTATTATTTTTTAACAAATATCTGGCAACAATAAATGTCAACTCTATTTTTATTTCATTTTGCATTCCAATTTATATAATTTATACGTGAAACTTGTTAATCCATTACAATTTCGTAATGCATGTACGAGCGTTTAGAAAGGTGAATAATTCTGCTTCAATGGTCACTGTTTAACATATGGTGTATTTAGATTTTTAAGGAAACTTTATATTGCATATCTAAAATTTTAAAAATTTTGATTGTTTATACCTATACAAACGTGTATAAAATATCATCGTTCGAGCGCAAATCAAAAGTTGAGCGTTAAGCGAAATTTGTTTGCTTTCACATTTGCAATCCGATATATTATTACTTTTTGCCAGTTACGGCTTAATACTCAATATTGCACATTGGAAATATATTTCAAAATCACTATCTAGTTGTTAGCTTTATACCCGCATATATGTATGTTTGCTTCCAGTTTTAACTATTTTTCAACAACCTGTGTGTGTAGTACTCATTTGAAAACATTTGCATAGCGCTGAAGTTGCAATTATATTTTTAGTTCAATGTGATTCGATATTTGGTAAAGGATGATTAACTGTTGTTTAATTCTTCATAACCGTAGGCCATGTCAAAGAAGATCTATTACTTTTCCATATATCGTAAATGTTTAAATATTGAACTTAATGCTGTTATAAACATTAAGAGTGGGTACGAAATAATCGCTAATTAGAAGTGGCACCGACAATGACACACTGTGTTTCTTTTTGTTCTAATCATTTTTTCGATTTTTTAAAGATGTTTTTAAATTTCATCCATTTCAGCTATTCAATTCGCATATTTATCGGCTCTTAATGAGTGTGTGAGCAAGTTTGTTTGAAGTGCAGGTTCTGGCATGCCAAAACAATTTCAATTTGCTTTCACATTTCACTGCAGACTTATTCTGCGTGCTCTAATTTCAATTTTATTTAAGTTTAACTTCGAAAATCCAATTCTTCAACTCTGTGTTTATCACACTTTATCTTGTTTGCAATTGTCTCTTCAATTTATTACTAAATTATGTTTAATTTTTTGAGATATATTATTAATAATTACTAGTTAATTTTTTCTTAAGTTTATGCATTTCATATTTCCTATCAAATAAGTACATGTAAATTCATTTATCGAACAAATAATTTAATTATTAAAATTGTAAAAAATTAAATAAGTTACAATTATTCGATTTTATTATTATAATTATCTATGTTTAAAAATTCTTTTAAAATAGCATAACATAATGACAACAGTAGTTGAAAAAAAGTTTCGTTTAAGCACAGAGCATTTATTTATATACAATAACATAAAAAATAATTTCATTACTTACACTTAAATAGATATTACAATACATGAAATGCGCTAAATATGTTCTTCATATATATCTTTTAAGCATTAATTATATGTATGTTGATTTTGTTTCCATTCCATTCCTAGTAGTTTAAAATTCTTTATTTATATTTTTGATTTAATTTCACTTGTTGCTCTTATTTTGTTTTCAAATTAAATGCGCACTGTTTGCTTTAAACATTAACTATACATTCATTCACATAATTTTAATTAATTTGATTTTGAAATGTAAAAATACTCCTATAATTTGCCATTAAATTGAAGGCAATGTTTATTTCTTATATTGCAAAGGAAAAACACATAAACCAATGGTGTGTTTAAATATTTAAAATGCATTTTTGTATTAAACTGCAGCGTTATTAAACACACGTTTATATAAATATGTATGTTGCTTCATTTTTAATTTAATTGATTTTAAGTGTTTCATAATAATTATTATTTAACATTTTCACGACTCCCATTTTTTACATGATACTCGCACTGCTTGTAACACTGTCGACGTGGAATTTAAATTGCTTTGCTTTTGGAGAAATTCAGTGTGTATTACATTCATAAACATGTTTGACTTAGTGTTATTTAATAATTATGCTGCTTAATTAGTGCTTAGCAAGCTTGGGACCTTATACTATATGTATTGTATAATCTTTAATTTGATTTGGCATCAAATTTATATTAATCGTAATTTTATGAAGTTTTTGCTATTAGCCTTTTGACATGAAACACACTTAAATGTAAATCCATTTACTTTGATCTTTCGTACAGCTCCTTTTAACTATAATTTTAATATTTATATGTGTGGTTTTCTTTCTTTTTTTTTTTTTTTTTGTTTGTTTGTTGTTTTTCTTTTGCGAGTATATGTATATGTTTGCATTGTCATTATGCATTGATTATAACATATGTTATGTGCATTTGTCATTCGCTCGCCGTACACATTTCATTGAAATATTCATACATACAGAGGTGACATTTGTTGCCGATAGCGCAAGTTGTCGAAGTTTTACTTAAAAATACAAATTTGAAGTTATGAAAGCAAAAATTTACGAGCATTTTCTGAAAATATACATCGCATTATTTTCCTTAATTATAAGTCGGGGGAAAATGATTGTAAAACTGACTTAGTTTGTTTCGCCATCAGCAACGTTATGATTTAACACCATAAATATTCCAACAACAAGCAGTTTGCTTTGCCAACTTTTCGGTCATTCAATTATGCCATTCACAGTTTTGTCGTTTTACTGAACATAATACATAATTTATTTAGTTTACACTAAGCTTTTGCTTTGCCCACTTTGATTTTTTTTAACATATATATGTATATAATTTTATGTTGCTAAGTGGTTTGTAAACATAATAAATAAATATTTAATTGTTATTAAAACGTTCCACTTCGAATCTAAACGCAAATTCACTTCCTTAATGTTCGGAATGAACTTGGTGAATATTTAACAAACGATAAAAATGTCACTGGTTTTTAATATGCCCTGTTCCCTTCATTTAAAAGTTAACAGCACATATATCTCTTAAAGAACTTGTACTTGCTCAATACAATAAGATATTCATCATAATTTTCTATTTTTTTTTTTTTTTTATGTCTTTATCTAAGTTAACAAATTTTCCCCATGTGTGCAATTTATATGTATTTAAAAACTTTCACCAACTTTGCACCCTTCTTTCTTTCCTATGGGTCGTTGGAAAAGTGTTTTAGTACCAACATACCGTTTATAGAATTCATTATAAATAATGTTGTAGTTAATGATGACACCAGAACATAATAGCTTGACTGATTTAATCATGCTGTAAAAAGTTAAAATACAGACTGCATATGTTTCTATGGGTTTCACACCAAAATGAGCCAGTCAGATATTTGGTGGGTTTCCAAATTCAAAAGTATATCAAGTGAATGGTAGGTAAGATAATATTGTAGCAGCAAGTTTCAAGAAGCATCACTGGTTTTATATTTTGTAAAAAAAATATTTTTTCAGTACAAGTTAAAAAATGTGGATGGAGTACCAAAATGGAATGCCATTTTAATAAATAAAACTCAAGAAATTTTTACAGGGTCCTTAATATTTTTTATATATTTTTAACGTCGCTTATTAAAGTAAGTGTATGTTTACATTAAAATGTAGTCCATAACTAAAGAATAGTATTATAAAAACAGTAATGACTGGCATATTTTTTCTTGCAATTTGTTTTTTCAATATTTTAGAACAACAAAAGTTGTAACTTGCAATAGGTGCTTGGCTTAAATAATGCTTTATTGTTTATTTTATATGTAATTTCTTTCATCAACTTTAAACTTGAATGAATTAATAAATGGTATTTAACATTTTGCATAATTTAATTGCATTGCACATTTTGAACGTATGTAGGTATTACACTTTCAAAGTTTTATGCATCCCTCTACATGTCTCTCACATACATATATCATTTTCTATTGTATATGAAATATTCATAACTTACACATTTTAGTCTAATTACCCATTATGCGCAGTTGTGCCTCCCTGACTATTTATATGCTCTTCACTGGGTGTTGGCGGTTGATCTCTCCGCGGCGGCATGCGCTCGTTCACTGCATCCAGACCCTTCGCTTCGGCAAACGAAGTGATCTTGTGATTGGGCGAGAAGCCTTGCATCGCATTCTTCAACGATTGCTTGCCACCAGATAGTGCGCCCAAAGGCAGTGCACCCGTTGGTGTGAGTCCCTTCAATTGCAGTACAGATTCAGATTCTTCACGCAACACTGAGAATACACGTGCCATTTTACCGATGGCACGTATCTTATTTCGAATGACTTCCTTGCGTAACGCCGCTTCGTCATCGGACAAGGGCTCTTCACTCTCCTCGGTCATGAGTTCATCGTCCGAGCAAATATTCAATACATTCACCAGCATCTCAGTCACTTTCTCGCCTACAAACGGCAACGACCAAGTAAATACGTCCATGAAATTGGGAAGCCAGTAAGGATGTGGAGAACAGTTGAACTGTCTGATGTTCATTACATTATTTTCATATTTCAACACCGCCGCTTTGTTGTTGTACACATCCAAATAATTCGGTGCCGAGAAGATGGTAATTAGCGATGGGAATCCAGTGGTTTGACTTTTGCGATACATGCGATAGCCGGCGTCCTGCGCCTCGTGTGCACGTATAATTGATAAAAGATTGTTATTTTGCAAAAAGTCACAGCATGCTGCATAACTGTAGAAATACGAACAGCCGCGCACGGAGTTGTGTGAGTAAAAGTCTGAATTTTTCTCGTTACCGAAATCCTCCAAAGGATCTGACCACAACAAATCGCACATTGGTCCGAATGCTGGTGGCTCCTTAAATCTATCCAAACGACGTATATCTTCCAATTCATGTATTTCCGGTGACAAACCGCCATGGACACACAGAAATTGTTGATTCATTAAAGCCGCTAGAGGTAAACAATCGAAAGCATCCATGCATGCATCATAAACACGTTCCGAATATTTAATCTTACATTCTTGTTTGAAAGTGAAGTACTCTGTTAAATGCCGGCATTCGTGATTGCCACGCAGTAAGAATAATGTATTCGGGTATGTGATTTTCAATGACCACAAATACAAAACACACTCAATACTAAAGTAACCTCGATCCACATAATCGCCCAGGAAGAGGTATTTAGTAGAGGCTGGTGACCCTCCTACCTCAAATAATTTCATGAGGTCATAAAACTGTCCATGTATATCACCGCATACGGTCACTGGCGCCTCGATGTCTATCATAGTTTTTTCTTGCCGCAATAAAGCAGCCCCCTCTTGAATAATTCGTAATGCAGGTGCCTCCTCTATGCGACCTTCAAGAATGAAATGCTGCTTTAATATGTCATGATTAGGTTTGCCAGTTCTCAGATCAAACACTTCGGCCATAGTTAACTTATGGCTGGGTGGAAATGGAACATTATCAATTACACGTTCCTTTGTATTAACAGCAGGTGTTTTTGCAACTCTAGTTGGACTATCTGCTGGTCCACCAGCAGTCGTTGTAGTGGTACCGCCGCCAGCAGCAGATGGAGAGTCTGTTGGAGCATTGCGTTGATCTGAAACCGCACTTGTTGCCCCACTAGCTGCATTTGCAGTATTTGAACTGGGGTTTACACCCTGCGCGGCGGATGATTGATTATTCGAAGACATTTTTTTCTTATAGAATTGTTTTTACTTATGAGCCTAAAAATAAATTGCTCAGATTTCGAGCACTTATCTTGATCACTACACCACTATATAGAGGTATTACCTCTGAAATTTTTCATATAATATGGTGTGCGAATTTGTTTGTGATACAATTTACTACGTGTCTGCGTAATTTTGATTTTTTCCGTATTTAGTGATGTTTCATTTTTTTTCGCACTGTTTTATTGATATTCCTCTTTTCGTTTCTGTACGTATACTCCTTTTCTAGGTCTCTTTTCAATCACTGTTTTCTTGCACTGTCTCCCTTTTTTACTACTTGCTTGCCTTGTACCTGTTTTGCCTTTTTGACTGCTGCTCGCCACTGCACTACTATTGCTCTTTGCCTTATTTTTTTTTTACCTATCGTTTTCTTGCACTCTGCCCACTGCCAGTTTCTGCAAAAAAAATTTCTTTTCCACTGGCTACGTTAGTTTCTCGAACTTTTATGAAAAATTCATCTTTGCATTGTTTGTGTTTAAACTTCACTATTTTATACAATTTTCTCAACGATTTTTAACAACTTTTGTGCTAATTTGCTCAAGTCCTAAATGGTGAAAAAATTTTCATCTCTTCTATTTGACAGTCCAATATTACAGTGTTGCCTGACTCGCTTTCTTACTACATGGTCGCATATTAAGGTTGTTTTTGATATAAGGGTGGTTTTACAATAAAAATCTATAATATAAAAGTATATATCAGAGAAAACAATAACAATTAAAAGATATAAGAATAATTCATTTATTAGTAAGGGGTTCTTATTGTTTTGTAATTATTGTACAATTGAAATATATAAGAAAAATCCATAGTATGAAAATGTTTAATCAGCTGATCTATGCTTAATGCCAAATAAATAATTCAAATGTTAATTAATTTAGAATATTTTCTAACTTAGTTTCTAGTTGTAATTTAATAGACCATCCAAACTATACTTTAGGATTGACCTTTAAAACTTATTAATATTGTGAAACCTTGAAAGTTAAAGCTTGTAGCAAATATTATAAAACTAATTCACACAATCTGAATTTTTCACCGGAAATTACGTGCCTATGAATCTAATTACTGAATGCGTTAAATATAAAGTAAATTTTATTTACAATTGCACGTTTAATTAGCTTTATGGCGCAGCATCCAATTGGTTTTTAGTTTCGAAAGCGATAATGAAAATAAGTGTTGTTTGACTTAGAATTATTTTATGTGCAATCATCATGAGTCTAATAATAACGGAAAACAAAGCGTTTAGCGGCTAAATACTCTAGAACTTTTATCGCTTAATCAAATATTTATTAATTTCTACCTTTTTCTACCCGTTTGAAATGGAAAATAAATTGAATGAACAAATATAGATACTTTTATAAAAATATACATACGAGCCATTAGGATTACACACCAAGAAATCGGTCAGTTTGTATGCAAGTTCAGTCATAGTGGACCGATCTGAACAATTTCTTCGGAGATGGTAGCTTGGTCTTTGGCAATAATCCAAGGCAAGTATATCTAAAGATGCCATGGAATATCTATTGAATAATTCTAATAACTATATTATAGCCAAGTATTGAATGAAGCAAGTTCATTTTGTAACTAACACGCAGTGAGTCATAGTTTCGGAGTCCAAACACGGTGAATTTCAGTGTTTATTTTACAGCATCTTAGCTATTGGCGATCATCATTMAAAGCACCGATTATGTACATCCATATATATGGAATAACAAAGTCCCTAACTTTTCAGAAGGTGGATAAAACTGCAGAAACCCTATATCTTCCGAAAGCAACAAGTCAATCATCTCAAGAAAAAGCAGTGCCTCAGTCAAAAACAATAAAAATTCCAAATTATTGTTATACTTACACGTTCCAAACGATTTTTGGTTGCCGTTGTTCATTCACTCAAGTGATTTTTACAGTAAAATCCTCTAATTGTAGACGTTGCTTCGAATATTAAGTGTTTAGTCGGCCATTGACATTTTATAATCTAAAAAACAACCAGCTGTCAAAGGGAAATTTACAAAAACATAATCAACTTTCAATTTTCGAAAATTGAAAATTGTAACATTTTTTTACTTAGAGGTGTAAAAGCGGAAATGCAGTAACGTTAGATAGTAATGATTGCTAGAGAATATTGCAAAGCAAGTTTTGATAAAGATTGTATAAAAAGAGTTTAAGAATCATAGGAGGAAGTAAACGTCCAAATTCTAGGTTAAATTTTTTAAAATAGCTAATATTGCTAGAAACATAAAATAGTTTTAGATATAAAACAATCGTTTGAAAGGAAATAAATAAATGTGCGCATTTTATTTTGAGGATAGGTACTTATATTTTGTTTTGTTTTTGTTTCTTTTTTTATTGTTATTATTATTTTGTTTCAATTTTGTAGTCTGTAAACGTTTGGTTGTTTTTATTATACTTTTTATTTAAATAACATTGATAATTTGGTTTTGTTACTTAAATTTTTAAAAATTTTATAAGGGATTGCATTAAGATTTGTATACCGTTAAAAGGTAATTTCTTGCTCGCAAATATTTTTTTGTTGATTTTTTTTTGGTTTTCTTTTGGTTTTGCTATTTGTTGTTTTTATAATAATTGTTTATTCCTTTTTGCATGACTTTTTAATGCTTTGCAACATGACTTGGATTGTTATTAAGTTGTTTTTGTTTATTTTTTTACGATATACGTAATTAATATGTAACTTTTACAATAAAATTGAAAAAATTTTAAGATTTATCTAGAAATGAAGATGTGCTCTCTGCTACTTTGCAATTTTTTTTTTTTATTTATGGCGTTCTCGATTTTATTTTTCTCACAATTTATATATAATCCCTCACTCAAACTATCTTTTTGTGTATAAGTTTCTACGCTTGATTCGTAAGCGACTCTTTTTTTCGAAACATTCTCTGACGAATACACACTTTTTCATAATAATTTCCTAATATGTATATTTGTTATGTATATATATATATATATGTATGTATGTATGCTATATTTTGATATTATGTGTTTGAATTACTTGTTGCTTTACTTTACTATAGAGACTTTCACAGCTGCTTTTTGCTATAGAAACGGAGTCATGGCAATGTCTGTTTTGGGGAAAAAATTATTTGAAATTTAATGAAAATATGTTTTTTACGTTAAATTAGAAATACAGTTAATACAAATGTTATATTTTGAGTTATTAAATAAGTTCAGCATTATTTTATTATACATACATATATGTATATTGAAGAAATGGTAAGTAATGTATTGCAGAAAACGAATATAAACATTTCCTTGGAAATTTTCATTAAATATGCAAAATTACTATTTTTACGTAACGTAAATATTGAGATTAGATTTCTTGGAAATATGGACGTAAGAACTCCTTCATGGTACTTTTAAAGATAATGTGTCGAAAAAAGGAGATTTAGCATCTCTAGAAAGAAAATACTTGTTTCAACCAATTTTAACTCTTCTTTTACTCCTTTTAATAAGTTTTATAATTCACTTTTATTTGACATTGATCATCGTTAAATTTTCTACTCGCGATTTAAAAAAAAAAATAAAAATAAATTTCTCAAGAAATGTAGTATCTCTGTCACAATATTGTTAAGTTTTTAAACCTAAAACTTCTAATTTTTAACAAATTTAAAAAAGTTTGTCTGTTCTTTTACTGCTGTTTACAAGTTTTCCTATTACTTTTTCGATCCGCAAATCAATTTACTTTTATTAGATTGGTTAGATTTGATGTTCATCGTTAATTTTTTTAAGAACTATCTTAAAAAGAAAAATAATAATCAATTTCCTAAATATAACATTTTTTTTAAATAAACTACGTTAATTTAGAAAATAACAGTAATAAATTTTTTATATAATTTTTAGTAATTAAAACTATTAAAGTTACTTTGGCTAATTACTTTAGCCAACTAAAATGTACTACATTTGGACAGATAAAAATTGCGAAAATTTATTAGTCAATCATCACTGTTCACAAATTGAAGTTATGAAATGTTTGTTTGAAAATAAATTGCGATAAATTTCCCTCTAAAGCAATTATCAATGAAAAAATTAAAATATTTATCAATAAATCATCATCGATCACAACCTAATTCAAAGTATTCGCAGCTGTTATCGCAGCAACATTTCTTGTCATATTGTTTTATCAAACTTACGATCAAGATGATTTCATAAATCGAAACTAATTTAATGTAGCTCATAAATCAGCTAATTGAAAAATGTTTAATTAAATTCACTGCTATTTGCTGAAGCAATTGTAAACAAAACAAAAATATTAAAGTCGATAACGATAACTTAACTGCGTTCTTTTGACTGCGTGTACCTGGTGATTTCTGACAACAAAAAAATACAAAACTAACAATATTTAACCAAATTTGCGAAAATAAAAATTTGTGTAAACTCAAAAAAAGTTTTTGCAGCGCTTGTATGCCGAAAGTCTCTGGTTAATTTTGTGTATTCGTGCAATGGGTTTAAACTGTTCTATCTTTGCTGTTCTTTGGGCGATATTTAAAGTTATATGTACGTACGTATTTCTATAATGTAAAGTACTTCAAATTGCTATAAGTTTTATATTTATATTTAATAATTATGAATTAATGAAAAAGTATGTATGCATGTATTTTGCTTTTATTAACTTAGCATTTGCTTTGCTGATTGCGTTGATAGTTTCAACATTTTTTCTTTGTTTTGCAAATATTTTTTTTTTTGTATTTTTGTTGTATTTAACTTATTCATTTATTATTTATTTGATTTTTATTTATTTATTTAGCTTTAATCTTAATTGTAAATTCACATTTCAGTTATAAGTAAATGTAATATTATTTAAGAAAAATTTCATTAAATTCTTTATAGTAGATAGTTACATTTCGCTTACATAGAAAGAAAATTATACAAAACCAAAAAATGATAGTCTCTATTCATTGATTAACAATTAACTAAACAATTTTTAATGCGATCTGCACACAATTGGTTAACAATCATTCTTTATTCATATATTTATATTATGTATAGTATTTGTAAATATTAATTTGTAGATCAATATAGATTACATGTAATCATTATAAAAATACCAAAATAAAAATTGCTAAGCTTTATGATTATTTCGAGATTCTTTTTCGGCTCGGTCTAAGTAATTGAGAGTTAGATAGATATAGAGAGAGAGAGAGAGAGTGTGTGTGTGAGAGTTAGGCAATATGCAGTTATACATGTATAGAGCGTAGTGAGTGCCGTTGGACAAACTTCTTATAATGAGAGTATGCACTGTTTCGCTCCGCAAGCGCTAGAAAGTAGAAAATTTGTATATATGTATCTTATAGATACTACATATGTATATACTACGTATGTTTGTATGTAATCAATTTTAGCAACAACATCCCTGCCAGTTTAACGGGGGTGTACACATACTATTTCTTTAACTACATATTAACTAAAATATATATATTTTTTTACAATCAATAAATCGCTTTACAAGTACGTTTATTCTTCTAATTGTTAGGCATTTTTGGAAAATCCATACACATATGACTTAGATAAAATATTTATGTATATGTATGTCGGACCGAGCGAACAGAACGAATAAAGGCAGCAATTACATACATATGTACATATGTATGTATGTATGACTATACTGAAGATGGCACGTATAAGACCACAAAACGATCACCAGATGAGTGTGCACGGCGCCGACGCCAACAACGCGTGAAGTTCCCTCCACACACACGCCCACCTGCCCGACACAAATGCATACTATGTGGCTATGTGTGTAGGCGGGCGTGTATGCACTTGAACTGCTCGTATTACATACTAACGGGAAATACAACATATTACCGTTTTAACACGGATCGCCAATGCAATTGTGCATCGCCGACGCATGCGTTTACAGTTTCAGTAACATTGAAGAAATTAGCATACGACCGACCATGCATCGAAAGTAGGACGAGATGAAATAACAACGACGAGATATTTATTAAATTTGCTATGTACTTCTTTCATTTCCCTTTTTCTGCTTTTGTTTTCATTTATATTTAATTTAATTATATTTAATATTTTCTTCTTATTCTTCTTCTGTTATACTTTTGACACAACTCCACGCTTCATTCAATTTGTATTTTGATATTTCATTCTTTAAAACTTTTGAATTGTTTCTTAACTTAAGAGTTACGCTCATTTCATCGCTTCTTCAAATATATGCGCCACTCGTGACTGGGTGGCTAGACCGCTCATTTACTTGTATATATGTATTACCCGTAGTACAACAAACACAATGTTATTATTAAACGTAACGTTGCAATCGGCCGCTTAGGCTAAATACAGACATACATGGCTAATAAAACACTATGGACTTAGAATTATCCATTGATTGCATTCGCATTGGCGTTGGCATTGGCATTCGCCGCTGCTGCAGCGGCAGCCGACAACGATTTTTGTCCCTCCTCGGCGGGCGATGGCGTTGAGTCGCGTCGCGGCGGCATACGCTCGTTCACAGCATCCAAACCCTTGGCTTCGGCAAATGAAGTGATCTTGTGATTGGGCGAGAAGCCTTGCATCGCATTCTTCAACGATTGCTTGCCACCAGATAGTGCGCCCAAAGGCAGTGCACCCGTTGGTGTGAGTCCCTTCAATTGCAGTACAGATTCAGATTCTTCACGCAACACTGAGAATACACGTGCCATTTTACCGATGGCACGTATCTTATTTCGAATGACTTCCTTGCGTAACGCCGCTTCGTCATCGGACAAGGGCTCTTCACTCTCCTCGGTCATGAGTTCATCGTCCGAGCAAATATTCAATACATTCACCAGCATCTCAGTCACTTTCTCGCCTACAAACGGCAACGACCAAGTAAATACGTCCATGAAATTGGGAAGCCAGTAAGGATGTGGAGAACAGTTGAACTGTCTGATGTTCATTACATTATTTTCATATTTCAACACCGCCGCTTTGTTGTTGTACACATCCAAATAATTCGGTGCCGAGAAGATGGTAATTAGCGATGGGAATCCAGTGGTTTGACTTTTGCGATACATGCGATAGCCGGCGTCCTGCGCCTCGTGTGCACGTATAATTGATAAAAGATTGTTATTTTGCAAAAAGTCACAGCACGCTGCATAACTGTAGAAATACGAACAGCCGCGCACGGAGTTGTGYGWGTARAAGTCKGAATTYTTCTCRTTWCCRAAATCYTCCAAMGGATCTGACCACAACAAATCGCACATTGGTCCGAATGCTGGTGGCTCCTTAAATCTATCCAAACGACGTATATCTTCCAATTCATGTATTTCCGGTGACAAACCGCCATGGACACACAGAAATTGTTGATTCATTAGTGCTGCTAGCGGTAAACAGTCGAATGCCTCCATGCATGCATCATATACACGTTCCGAGTATTTAATCTTACATTCTTGTTTGAAAGTGAAGTACTCTGTTAAATGCCGGCACTCGTGATTGCCACGCAGTAAGAATAATGTATTCGGGTATGTGATTTTCAATGACCACAAATACAAAACACACTCAATACTAAAGTAACCTCGATC